CTGCCGGCCGATCAAACCTGGAGCATTACACTATTAAAGTTATAGTATAAGATTATTATACTCAATTTGAGTCATTTTTTATCATTAGTTCCTATACAAATCGCCACTGCTTCTACTCAATCATTAATTTAACTAAAACAATGTTAATTTAAACCAATGGAGTTAAAATAATGAATTAAGATAATGTTGGCACATATGACAGTTAAAAATAGCAAAATGTTATTTGATTCAAGGTATTGAATACGACGCCGTCCAAAACAAAGCCGCGCCCAGGCGAAAGGCGATCGTGCGAATTTAATAAAGTTAGCTCGTGCGAAACGTGAGCAGTATATGTATCGAGTGCCCAATGCTTTTTTCAGGAATGTTGAGGGATATTTCATTAACGAGGAAAACGCTTAAACGCTTATTATGGACAGGAGAGTTATGGAACATTTACTTGCTGCGTTATGTCGATTAAAACTTGTTAGAAAAAAATGCGACAACTAAAATTACTATAAAATTTTAATATTGCTAGTTGTAAAAATGCTTATACACTCATTCAGTTCAAATATGCTTATATACTCATATTGCATATTATTTCGAGACTTTTCGATTTCTCGTTTAACTGTTATCGCTGAATTTATTTTTTCACAAAATCTTGTCTTTCTTAATTTTAATCACCTCACATTCTTATTGCGCTATAATTTTTCGAATCCCAACGTCAAGAATCCCCGAAAAACATTTTCGTTGCGCCATGTTTCGATAACAATATGGATTGTTTAGGCTTCAACGCTGAGGTTGAATCCAACCAAAAAAAATCATGTACTATTATTATATTATATATGTATACTATACATAATTATATACTCGACTCCCAATACAATATTTTTAAATTCTCTCTAATATAATATTCCTAACGTAACGATAAAAGCGAGGAGAAGAAACTTGTTAAAAATTGGCTGATTAAACTTCAAAACATGTATTGTAAACATCTCGCCGGGCGAATAACACAAGGGTAGATAAAAATAGCTCATTATCTTCGCGCCAGGTCGCAACAATCGTCAACGTTCTGTTTCAACAGCCGCACATTGTTCGGTTTCAGCTTCTAGAACGAAACAATATGCGTCACGGGACCGGTACTTATACGCGTTCGTACGCACGTATCTAAGCCCGATTTTGCCCCGCTTTTGCCGCGTGGAAGGGCAGCCGGCCAGACGATATAAACGGATATTTGTGTCACAGATTGATCGCGGCATTATTAACCGATCATGCGACGGGTAATAACTCCGCGTACGGGGACGCACGGTCAGATATGTGTCAAGTGTTACCCTTGAGCACTCGGTTATTGAATATTATATTAGCCACGTTAGAGGATCTGCTCCATATTCTACGCCTCAATGGTCTCAATTACGGTCTATAACTAACGACGTGGCCGAACCCAGGCCGTCACGGAGGCCGTCGTCGCGGTATCATGTGATACCACGTTTATCAAGTTTCTGCGAGCGGATTTCCCTGAGCCTTTTGCGTCACGGGAGACGCGCATGTAAACGAACGCATCAAAACGGAAACAAACCACAGTTCAGAGTTATTAATCTTCGCAAAGTTTCGTCTAAAAATTTATTCTTCCGCGAACAGTTTGTCAAGGTACAGAGAGTCGTAAACATGTTTACAAGTCAATTTTAAAATCTAGGTAAATGCAAACGACTCTAAAATGGAATATAAAATAGCGCGGTGTAATCTAGTACATTGTAAAATTTGTATATAATATCAAATTACACTCAATTTGACTCATTTTTAATTATTCCTGTAGGTCATTACTGCTCCTACTCGATATAGTCGCTAATTTAACTAAACCAATGGAGTTAAAATCACTGCTTTGTGTTTCGATACACATGATAGTTAAAAATAACAAAATCTTATTTAATCAACATATTAGTTTAAATTTAATCCTCTAATATTTAACAGTAAAGTTCCGTTCGAAGAGAGAGAGAGAGCTTGCTGCTGTAAGATTTGAAACTTGAATGTAAAAATATTAATCATTATAGAAGCTTATTGCATTGTTAAATTCGTAATGTCAAATATTATATTCAATTTGAGTTATTTTTAACTATTCATATGTAGGTTTGCCACTGCTCTTATTCAAAATATATCGTTAATTTAACTAAACCAATATAGAGTTAAAATAATATACTGTTTTGTGTTAAAACAATAAATTTCGACACACATAACAGTAAAAAATTATAAAATGTTATGTTATTTAACTCAAGGCATTGGTTTAAATTTCTTTAATTCTTAAACAGTGTATTTCAGCTCGTAACGGTATTTATTCGCGCCGCGCCGAGTCGTATCTTATCCGGCGCATTTGGTGCACGGGATGCATTGGAACTGACAATGAAACTCTTCCCCTCTTCTCTCCCGTCCAACGTTTAATTGAACGTTAGTTTATCTATAATATATTTGTCGATTCGTGAAATGCATCCGTTATCGAACTAAATTCCACCTGAAATTAATCGAGAACGTAGCTTGTCCCGTCTGTTTGCGTTTTCGAGATAAGACAACAACTCTCGTCAAGTCGATAACTTTTTTAATCAGACCTCACTCATGCCTCGATCCTCCGGAATTGTTTTCGACGGGCGTTTATCGGCGTGCGCATGAATAACTCGTGTTGCGAAACGCTCCGTACATTCCGGCGAAAAAATCGTCGAGAAATCTCCCAAGTTTCGTAACCTCGATCGCGCGGCGCACAGCGCGGCGGATCGGGCGACAGGTGTGCACGTACATATACCCCGCACCAACACACCTCGATCGCCGTCCACCACGTCGTAATATATATTTCGGAACAAATTGCTGCCGTTGGAGCGAGATTTCGACCGGTCTCCCGCGCTGATACGCACGCACGCATACATACACACGCGCGCGCGCACGCACGCGGCCGAGGTGGGTGTGGGTGTGTGTGTGTGTGTTGTGCGTGGTATCGCATACGTGTATGATCCCGCTCTCGGCACATGCACATCGGCGCCACTCGTCGGAACGCGTGTTCTCGCGTCAAGGGGCCTTTTTTCGCCGCGTTTTTCGTTGCTCCGGAGCCGCGCAGTATCGCTCGCGACTCGCCCTTGAGAGCAGATTCCGTACTGTCCCGCGTGAAAAGTTCCGCGTGAGAGAGAAAGGGAAAGAGAGAGAGAGAGAGCCGCGTGTGCGTAAATCATAACCGACAAGTTCTCCGGCAATGGCGACGACGCAGCTGAGTCTGGCGCCGAAGACCATCAAGTACTTGATGTTCGCTTTCAACCTGTTCTTCGTGGTAAGTGGGCAGCCGATGATCAGCTGTCGCGCGACGACGACGTCTCTCTCGCGTTCCTTCTGGAACGATGAGCTGGCATGGACCCGCGCGAGATTCGATTGCGCTCTGCGAGCTATCGAACCGAAATCGTATCGCGACACGCTTGATCAGCGCGATCGTTGAAAGCTGACGATTACACGATCGACAGGTGTCAGAAGCCGAACAAAAGGCGTAACTTTTACGAAAGCGCATTTGTAAAGGTGCCTTTTTACGTTAACGCTCGACGCTCATTTTTAGCAAGTAAAAATCTTCAGAAATAATATCTTTTATTTATATATGTATCCATAAAATATTATTACTTGAAGATATTACTTGAAAATAATTAATATTTTACGTATTTCGAAGTTTATGTTTGATTGTACTGGGACGATTAACGACGATTCAGCGACGACGCTGAATATTAAACAAATTCAACTTCATTTCTTTGACGCTAACGTCAAAGTAAAACCACCACGTTCACCTTGTTGACGCTCATTTTCAGCGTCTCATGAATTGGCACCTTAAAGCCGTAAAGTGGCGTAAAGTGAACATTAAATAAGGTTGATTATAATTTTTGTCACTTTGATCACGAGGAGCTAGTTGAAATTAGCTAAAATGCAATTGAGAGAAGTTGGCTACAATTAATAAGTCTCTTTCAAGACTATGTAGAAGGGGACAAAGTCGAATTTTACTTCTCAACATTAATTTCTTTTAGCCAGAATTCATGACTGTCAACAAACGCGTGTTTAAGTTAATTTCGATTAATGTTTATATATCTCGTATTTATATATCTATATATAGACGTCTGTATCTCGTAGTATCGTGGACGTCAAAATTCAACAATGATCGCACTGAAGTGCGCGCATTGTGGAGATAACGTCAATAGGATCACGTTGGGTCAACAAGAATCCAGTTTTACACGTTTGATGCAGTTTAAAAATGTTTTCTGCAAATATGTATTGAAATACAGTGGAAATGGTGAAATTAAAACGTGGAATTTAATTCGGATATCATTGACAAATATAAAGTATGGAGCACCCGTGTTTGCGGAATGTATATATTTCATTTTTGTTAACCTTTAACATTTAGAGAGTCATGCGATCGTTCGGTTATCTCGAACAGATATTTCACAGCTTGGTATTCCAATAAATAAATATTACTTGGTTGAGAAATCTCTCGGTCAACACAGCAAACATCTGTTTGGAAATCTGAGCGGAAAAGCGCTGCATTTATCAATATTATTTCTGAAGATACGCTGCGATACGTACAGTCAAGAAACGCGTTTAGAAAACACCTATACCGATTCGAGATAAGTGTTTTTGGAGAAAAATGGATACAACTGATGAGAAACTTAGAAGTATATTAGTCACAAGCAATGTTACAATATCTGTAACAGTACACAATCGTAGATTTTTCCTCAATTGATTAATATATAAACTCGTTACTATACCGAAATTAAATCTTTAATCCCGAGTTCTGAATGAAAATGCTGGACATCCCGTATATGAAATATTTTTATGTCCAAATATGGATTCCATTTTTTTTTAAATATAAACGCGTGTGTTATAAATCTCATGTAAAATTCAATAAATTAAACGATTGTCGTTTATTTATTCGTCGATTCAACTAACAAGTAGGTACATCGGAAAAGAGCGTAGATGAATTATTGTGAGATAAATCTTTATACAAAAAGAAATTGACCAGCGTAAGAGATAGGTACGCGAGGGATGAATCCTCTTATCGCGCGGTATCCGCTCCCTCGATTTTTTCGCGCGCAGCGTGACGTCAAAATCGAAAGGCCACCTGTAATCGATACGGATAAATATAATGAATATAATGAATATTAATTTTATACGCTACAGAACAGAGCAGGAATCAGTCATCTTTTAATTTCAGTTATTTAGCTAGTTAATAAACTAATTGGATTGTTCATGTTAAGTAACTATATCACAATTAAAATAATTTTATCATTAGAAGATTTGCGTACTTGGAAATGTTATTTACGTATGTATATGCGTAGAAACTATAGCTGATGGATTCAATAATGACTAACCTGGTCTTAAAGGATTATTCAGCACAATCGAAATGCGTACTGCGTTATCGGCTTTATTAATAGACATGTTGTTACATTCTTGCGCGACATACGTGTTAATTTTTTACGAGAAAATTTATTTACATTAATATTTCTATCGTTTGTTTAAACGATTGCGCAATATCGCGAGATTATTATAGAATGATTAAGTTGCGCTATTATTTTATTTATAATTAATTAAAAATCTTTTTTGCATTTTTTCATTAAGTATATACGTACCTATGTACGGATAATTACTTCTTATGTAATATAAAGAAGAAAAAAAAAATTCGCTGCGGACAGGATTCGAACCTGTGCGGGTAGAACCCAATGGATTTCAAGTCCATCTCCTTAACCGCTCGGACACCGCAGCAGTTGGCAACTCTCTGTTATTTGTACGATCTACTGCTTACGAACGTGAAATTCTAAAAAGTTGACGCGAACAAAGAAATAAACTTGCGCATTTCCATCAAATCTGTCGAAATGCTAATTACGTACCACATTAATTAGACGAGTACGTCGTTTAAATTGATTGCACAATATTGCGAAATCATTGATTATCCTCATGAAATTATTATGTAACCATTACCAGTTTTCAGTGCGATCAATTCCTGCGGATCGTATTTTCGATCCTTTTATCCATGGAGTTATCACGTATCGATGAATTACTTATATAGGTTACAGGAATAGTATTGCTATCGATCGGCGTGGTCATCCATGGAGTGTACCATCAGTATCAACATTTCCTTGACAACAGCTTCTTCTCTGTGCCTTCTCTTCTCGTAGCCGTGGGCTCCATCATCTTTATCATCGCTTTCTTCGGATGCTGCGGAGCCGCTCGCGAAAGCTATTGCATGACTATAACGGTAAGGCGAATGCTCATAAATACTTGGACATATATTTTTCTTTTATACACATAATATGTATACCACGTGTAAATATACACCTTTCGTAATTTAAATTTATGAAGAAAACGTAATTTCATCATAAAAAAAATTAATTATTTACTTTTCGTTCACGCGTTAAAAATTGCACATCTATTAACTTATTATTTTATTACTTAAAAATCGCATACATATACACTGTTAAATCCGTAGTTTCAAATTATACTCAATTTGAGTCATTTTTAATCATTCTTATAGGTCACCATTGTTCCTACTCAATATTAATTTAACTAAAACAATGTTAATTTAACTAAACCAGAGTTAAAATAATAAATTTCGACACACATGGCAATTAAAAATAATAAAATATTATTTGATTCAAAGTATTGGTTTAAATTTCATCCTTTAATATTTAACAGTGTATATTTGAGAATCTTTATCAACGATGATAAAGATGTCTCATCGTTGCGTCATATGCAATTAGATCGTTTATTACTATAGAGTCGCAGTATATACATATTTGACGTTTAATTAGCCAATAATAATTGCTCAGCGGGTTAAATCAATAATAATAACAAGCTACCCAGTAAGCAAACTGTTCGCAGTACTCCGACAGATTGGCAGTAAATTCAATCAGAAATTGCTGGCAAATTGACGTCAACTGTGTCTGCATTAAGCTTGTGTAGTTTTATCGACAGAGCTGATATAATCTGACAGCCAAGCACGAGAATCCGTCAAACGCAGATTCTGCTTTATTTCTACCGTCAATCTGCGTCAAACTGTAATAGCAAGTGTGTCAAAAACTGTTGGATTTTTGCCATTAATTTGCCATCACATTTTGTTGACAATATTCTTGCCAGCATTCTGCGAACAATATCATCGTGTATGTCAGATCCTGTATATCAAATTTATATAGTCTCTCTAATAAAATTTGTCAGAAATATTGCAGAATCTATTCTCGACCGACTTAATTGGCTGTATAGAAATTTATCGTGTACGCGCCTTTTACAATCGCGACGAACATCTTGTTTTAAAAATACGACATTCATTCGTCGATCGTAAGTGATTTATGTCTCGTTCGATAGACCATACCTGGCGAAGCTCGTCACGTGTGATTGTACTTCCGATTAAGAAACGTGCCGCTGACGAGAATCAATCGCGACGTATACCGCGAACAATAAAGCGCACCATTATCGTGACTCGAGAACATTCACGTTATTTTCGACGCTGTTTTCCATTTGAATTAAATTCGAGATTAGAATCTGGATACGGAGCCGTCGGTTTTTCGAACCGGCGAACGCCGAACGGGAAAAAGCGCGGCCAAGTCTGTCCATCTACGATATCGTCTCCCCCTCGTTTCCATAACGTAATGGATCATATGTTTTGTGCGCGAGGTATGTAATTGACATGTGTGTGTCCTCCCCGTTCCACCTTCCACCTTCGCCGGCCCTTATTCCGGGAAAATTACTCCCCCTCGCACGCAGACGAGGGGCGGGCATGCTTCCGGCGTTGCTTTAAAAAATTGACGCAAACGCACGGCGAGAGACTATAACAAATATTTTATACAAGCTTACAGATTAGATTCTATGCGTGTTCCTCAGATATATTAAAAAATATATATTAGCACCTAATGCAAAAACCTTATATTTACTCCGGAATAACGATATATTGATGTATATGAAAGATAATTTGTCGAAATATGATTTGAATTCTTGTAACGATGGTTTCTTTTGTTTGCAGTTCTGTACGCTACTGGCTACGATTTTCATTCTGGAGATCATAGGCGGTACGTTGGGATATGTGATGAGGGCGCAGGTTGCGACCGTTGCCAGGGAAAAGATGCTCGACACAATGCCGAAGTACAACGAAAGCAAAGAGATCCAACGCGTCTGGGACACATTACAACAAAATGTAAAACGCGCGTAATTTTATATATAATTTACCGTATTTATACGTGCGACCGCGTTATATTCTTGAAATGGCGAACCACGTGCGAGTGGTTTTGTTTTTTCTCCCTTTTCCGACGGCGGCTTTGTCAGAAGTTTTTCGCGCTTCGCGCCGTGTGTCTTCCCCTGTCGTGGGAGCGACCGGGTCGTCGCGAGAATATCGCAAACGCCAGGCGACAGGGATAATTTCAGTGCCGGGCTCTAATTCCTCGCGTGTATAATACATGTGTGTGTGGTAGCTGGCGTGCACGCCACGAGGGGGGTAGCGTAAATCGATTTTTATGTCGCCGGCTTCCTTAACCACCCTCAACGATCTATGAAACGTGCACTATATATATATATATATATATATATATATATATATATATTTATTTATTTATAATATATATAATTTTATTATTGTGCAACGGATAACTGTTTTGAATTGAACTTATGCTTATAAGACATTTTCTATTTCGATTTACATCTGAAGCATGCCTTTTTTAATTTGTACAATACATCGTGTAACATTCTGTATTATATATACATATATGAGCGTGTCACGAAGTATTAAACACGCTTCCTATCACGAAATTTCTCATTACAATTAACCGATGACTGCACATATCTGCATTTGCGCGATGTGCTAATCACGAAATTCGTTTTTTACAGTTCCATTGCTGCGGCACGGTCAATGCCACCGACTGGACTTCCCCGCAAATGGGGAATCTGACGGGTATTCCGATGTCGTGCTGCGACAACACGATAGGTGCTGTCGGCACGTCGAACTGCACTTCGACGTCGCCGACCTTCCATCCCGTCGGCTGCATCACCGCGTTCGCGAATTTCGCAGAGAAACACGCGGCAAAGATAGCAGGTGTCGGAATAGGCCTTGCTGTAATTCAGGTATCTTCATCAGTATCACGTTAGATTTTCCGCCGAATATATTGCCTCGTAACGTTATTTTAAAGTGTTTCCAATAAACCAGACATATATACTCACATTTTAATGATAATAATTGACGTTTCATGTTGCAGCTGGTAGGAATCTTCTTGTCGTCCTATTTGGCCAAATCAATCAGGAATTGTTATCAGACCATGTAGAGTGCCATGCGAACATCAGATCGGAAGCAGCATTATATTCCTAAATGACAGCCAAGCAGGATTTCCATTAGGACACGGGACTACGTGAATCTGATAAATTGATCTGATAATTGATCTGATATATTAAACACGTTGTTTGTTTTTGTAGAAGCGCGGTAAATTATTTTTGCTACATACGATGTCTCGCATCTCGCGCTATGAATATAAATCGTGTATGTTTTTAATAAAATCTTTACATTGCCAAGAGTGTTTTTGCGATAATACGTTTATCATTTCTGATTAAAAATGTTTCGTTAATTCAATTCGTATTCTCTTTACATAAACGTGGAAGAGTAAAAGACGCGAGAAAATCTGTTTCTACATTTATCTGCGATAAATCGTTTGAAAATCGCCATTTATTTCCTCACAAATCTTGGCGACTTGCAAATTTCAGATAAAAAATCGGTGCGCTCGCTCGTGTTCGAAAATCACGCACACGCACACGTAGAGAGACACGAAATTGAACTTAATCGCTCATGTATGAGTCATGCTCGTTGTTTTGCCTACGTGTAAACGTAGCAACGAACGCGAATGGACGTCTCTTTACCAGGCTAGCAACTTTAAAATCTTAGCTTGATATATTCCATCGTATTGAAAATATATGTATAATATATATATATATTTTTTATATATAGATAGATAAGGATATATATAGATATATGTATCCTTTAAAATGCTATTTGTGCTATTTAAATATAAATGTATCGATATTCAACCCAAGACGTCCCGTCCAGATTCTAAAAATATTGCATTTATTATCAATTAATATGACAACAGCTGTATCGAATACCTATTCAAATATTCATTGGCGTACCAGTGCGCTCTAAATTTATCGCTTCGTCATATTTTTTTCTTCACGTTATCGTGACTTCCTTATTCCCTCCCACTCTTTTCCCTCTCTCTCTCTCACTCTCTGTCTCTGTCTTTCTCTCTCTCTTTCTTTGTTAGACCGCACGTTCTAAACAAATCCAAATCGTTCGGCGTCGGTATCGGCGCGAAGCCGTGCGCGATCGTGCGTTTTCGTGGCTCGTTATCGGCCAGTAGATAACGCTGCAGGCCGACGCGACGCTCCAGCGTCGGCATCGGCAATCGGTGGTGTCAACTGGCGAGTGCTGATTGTGCTGAAGGTGCGCGAAACCCGCCTCGCTGTGCATCTGCGCCCGGGAGGAGCCAACGCGAGGGCAAAATGGCGGCCACGCACCTAGACGTCGGCCTCCGCTGCATCAAGTACCTGCTGTGCGCGGTCAACTCCCTCTTCGTGGTCTGTACTCTATAATGCGCGAACGGCGTTAAAATATCTCGCGTCTCGTCTAATCGCGGAATGATGTACCGCGCGCTCGCGCCCGGATTCCCACGTCTCAAAGGCAATCTCCGCGTTAATCGAAAAACAATTTGGGACAATCGCGAGACGAGAATTCTTTAACGTTTATTTTATCGACGACGCTCTTCGTCTTCGTTTTGACGCTATATACGTGTGTCGATCGAAAGAGAAGAAAAAGAAAAGAAATGTACCGTCAGCTCTTCTTTTGAGAAATCGTTCGAGTGACTTGAGAATCTCGGGAGAATGAAACGAACCGCGAAATTCGTCGCGAGGCAAAAAGCTACGTTTTTTCGCATAAGTCCGCCGAAAGAGATATTCTTGGAGGATGAGATAATTGTTCGTTACATTTATGACTCTTGAAATATATGCCGATGCACGAAGTCATCGCCAATGACTTCGCGACGAGTCGCACGTTACCGGAGCTTATCGGAAAATACCGTTATTGCGACGCAAGCTCGTGTGTAGGTGCAATTGCGCATCGTATAGGCCAGGTGTCCAAGAGCCCAAGACCATACATGTATCGTATACTCATCATAATTATCGATTGCTACTATATACCGACCATGTAGAGTAGATGATGCTTGAATTGTATAAAGGAGGCTTCGTTCTACGGCGAGAGTGTCTCCAATTGCTAACAATCTACTTTTTGATGAAGACAAAGAAGTTGCACACTTTGCGCAAAATAAAGCGAAATTTATCTATAAAGAAAATGTTTTTATATTTATGTAACACATACATTTATATAAAATTATAATTTAAAATTAATATATATAGTTATTTAAAACTTATATATATTATATGGATATATATGTTTTTTATATATATATATACAATAAATATTATATATTACATTAAATATATATTTAATGATTTGTAAGAAAACGCGAATCGATAAGTATCGTTTCACGTTGGTTATCAATTCTTTTCAAGATATTTGTTATCGATACAGCTGTTAGCGGACGTTCCGATAACATAAATGGCGATTAACGTCGACAAAAAAGTGACTCAGATAATTGTCTTCCACGTATATGTGGCAGGTGTCTTTCTGTTCTACGTATATAACGGTTTAGTTAAAAAAATCGATATTAAAATTATGGACTTTAATAAAAAGATTGCGGTTTAGCAACAATTAGAATATTCGAAATTATTGTATAATGGCCCAAGCCGTAGCGGTATCAATTTTCGGTATTAAACAGTCGACTTGAGATAACGGATGTCGAATCATTTACATTTCCGAGACAAAAAAAGATATATATTCTACGATGCCGTTGGAATAAAATAACGTGGACGATACTTACGAAGAGGCGAAAGGGCGGATTTCTCCGAGGTTATTATCTTTTATTACGTCCTTTGTTCTGTACCGAGAAGGCGATGTGGGCCATGAAGTTCGAGTTTCGTTGTTATACGAAGAACGGCACTTTCGAACTGCGGTCGATATCACATAGACAAGGCTATATGCACTGTTGAATTATTAGGGATGGACGAACTTATACGACTGCACAACCCGATTAGCACAATATATGCTTCTTAATTAAACAACGGGGCAATAATAGGAGCGAGTGTTTCTTTCACGATTCGTTATTAAGGGCTGCGCACAATGAAGGGAATAGGGAATGGGGAACAGTTCAATATTGATATATGAAATTCATTAACAAATGTAATTTATTAACACAGAATGGACGAACGGAGGAATAGCTAAGGAACAGTGATGAAATTTTATTATATTTCTGTACACCATATGCACAATGAATATGTTAATATTAAACTGTTCCCTATTCCCTGTTCCCCATTCCTTTCATTGTGCGCAGCCCCTTATCGATACAAAGAATATGCTGAAGATTATCGCAAACAAATCGGCAATTACATACAAATGGTCAATTTGGTTCTCGGTAAAGGTGTATTGCCTGGCATATGGAAACACTTGTGAATTATTCCCAGGCGCTTATGCAAATTTCTAGCTTCTTGCTGCGGTTGAAGGAAAACACTGCCTGTGAAAAGACAGTGATTTCCTATATGCGAGACCTGCAGGCCTTGACATTCGAAATCTCGAATCGACGATATGAGAAGCCGTTTCGTTGTTCTCAAACAGACGAAACGCCAGTAAGTACCAGGAAAACGTTTCAAATATCTTGCGTCGTTCACGGCGCCTACCCGAGGGACTTTGTGGTCGCTTATCAGTAGAGATAAACGTATTATCTTCACAATCAATGATGCCGGGATACATCATGCGACTTGAATAAAACGGGGTACTTCGACACACGAGTGCAGAAGGAAAAATCTTGGAAGTTAGACCGGTGCAACGATCGTTCGCTCAGAAATCAAACAAGATCTTGTTTGATCTTTGATTTCGCTGAAGGAGCAAAAATAAGTTCACGATGTATCGTTCCTTAACAGGTCATCGATATCTTATCCGAGTGTTTATTTATTTAAGTCAAATTAAAAGTCAAATCAAATTAAGAGCTCTCCTATCTTAATATAACACATACGTATATATATATATATATATACATATATATTTCTCGATAATCGGTCGGAATGTATTTGAAACGATTTCGCATTTTATTTCGGGTCTTCGGTGAGAAGATAGACTTATGCGGACGTGTAGAAATCACAAGAGTGCGGCTTATCGTAGGAAATGACATGGTTCGCTTTAAAGAACAAATAGAGACCGATGGCAACGTGTACATAGCGATACGCTTCACACAAAAGTGCTTCATACCCTCTTTCCAGTCTAAAAAGTTTACATTCGAGCGAGGACGCATGTATTATATAACTAATGTCAGGGAAACCGCGTAATTACGGGAATGATCGAAACCTCATACTACGTGCAGTAAACGTGCATTACGTTCGGTATATTACACGGTTCACAAATCGTATGAAATACTGCATATTTAAATCGTCATTATAAGCAGAAATAACAAACAAGCTGCTAAAAAGTCACAGAACTTTAGAGTTGCAATAAGAATACAGAAATGAGGAAAAGGTTTCTGTAAACATGAAACGAATTAAAGGTCTGTTTTTTTTAATTTATATAAAATAGTTTATTTATAAAAGCTCGCGAATTAAAATAACAAATACTCTTAATTCAAACTTACTATTCCTTATAAAAAAGTTCTTAATTATTAACATTTAGTTTCTAAATAGTACTGCGTTTTGTCTAATTAAAATATCCAATCAAATTTTTGCTAACAAGTATCGACTTTAGATCGGTCAAATAATTCGTAGATGAAGTTTGTATGAATGTCATTCCTCGGCATTTTGCGATTAACAATTATTTAATTATTTCATATATATTGCAGAGGAATGAAGATTTTTCATTAAAATTAATGATATAGCAAAAACAATAGTTAATTGTGTGGTTAACATAATAATAAAATTGCGATATCGTTATTATCTTATTGCAGTTGACGGGGGTGATGATAATATCGGTCGGCACGACGATTTACGCTGTTTACGAGAACTTCTCGCACTTTTTGGACGCGAGCTATTTTTCACCAGCCACCCTTTTAATCGTGGTTGGAATACTTGTCTTCATAATTGCTTTTATGGGATGTTGCGGCGCGCTTAGAGAAAGTACCTGCATGGTTCTTGTGGTAAGCCGAATATCTCTAATTTCTACTTTGTTACAAATATTCTCTTTCTGACACTATACTACATTTTATGCGTGTGCTTCTAGTTTGCAGTCTTGCTATCATTTGTATTGATACTGGAACTTGCCGCTGCCGTTGCCGCGTATGCCCTGCAGGACGGTATCAAGGATCTCTTAGCCGAGAAGATTAATCTAACGATGCACCAATACGAAAAGAACGAGGAAGCCAAGTTCGCGATCGATTTTATGCAGTCCAGGGTGAGATAATTGACCATTCCGTAAATAAAAAACTGTAGAAAAATCCGTTGAGATATACTGGCACCGGACATGTCCTAAAAATAACATAACATTTTCAAGATATAGCGTATTCTTTACAGGGACAGAAAGAAGCATTTTGAAAAATAATCGATGGTATTTTTTTGTTTTTACAGTTACGTTGTTGCGGGTATAATGGCTACATGGATTGGAACAACGTACCGTTCAATAATACACATATAGATGTACCTGACTCTTGCTGTGCATATCTAGTGGATGAGCTTTCGGACCGCTGTTACGGAAAATATCACGAGGGCTGTATTAGCCGGCTTTCTATTATTGTTCACCGCAGCGCGTTATATATCGGCACGGGAGCGGTAGCGATCGCCCTTATTCAGGTTAGTAGATTCAGCTCTTTTTTTATAAACTTAATTTTAATCTCATTTCTCGTATGTCAAAATTCGAAATCGCCGATACCAATATTAACCCGTTGTGGTCACACCTCCTAAAAATAACGTAGTGGTCACACGGGGTCCAATGGACCCCACAACAGTTTCCATTTGCGTTCTTTTTGATGTATCGACTCAAACCTTGAACTGGAATTAATTTATGACTTCCTCTTGATAATCCAATAATTTAAAAAAATTTTTTATGTTGAAAAAACGCGAGAAAAAAAATTTTTTTTCGAGAAATTTGACTTTTTTTACAAAAATATTCATCAAAATTTTTTGAGATAGAGTAAAAAAACTTTGTGCGTTTTACTTTCAAAATAGTATACTTTTGGAAAAAAAAAAAAAAAAAAAAGCCTGGGGTCCACTGGACCCCATGTGACCACAACGGGTTAAGAAGCATTTACAAGATAAAGCGCGATCTTCAAGATTAGTTTATCTACACAAATAAAATTGATAATAATCTCTAATCTCACTTATTTCTTTCTAGCTAACGGGAATTATGTT